ATATATATATATATATATATATATATCCATTCATTTTCAGACACGCGTGTATGTATGTGTGTGTCATGCAAGTTAGTGAATTAAGCCGTTTTTTCACAACGACATTTTGTTTGTAGATGTTAAAAAAAAGGTTATCAGTAATATTGTGTTGTTTTTTTCATAATTGGGTTAAGTATAATTCTCCTGCACACTTATGTGTTTAAATCACTTTAGGATTTCTCCAACTGCCTAAATTAAAAAGGGTTTCTTAAAAACTTTTCCTCTCCTCATGAGCCAAAATAAACCAGTCCAGAGGATTCATGCACCGCTCTCATTGTTTCCATATAAACAAGCGAAATGGATCAGGTCAACTTTCTAAATTTCTTGTTTGTTTGTTGCTTTTATCTGATCAACAGTCTACCTTACGATTCTATATCCACATCACACTAAAACACAGCTTAAAATAGTTTTACGGAACTTTTTCAATCGGAATATGATTTCAAGTTACAACGTTCTAGAAAATTGATAAAGTTTGCTTAGCAGCCTAGCAGTAAAAGTGGTTAAAAAAATCTGTGTCAGCTATTCTGGTGTTAACAAAGGTAACAGCAGGTTCAATAAAGTGGAGACCACAGACATAATATTATATATAATATTTATATTTCCCTTGCTCTTTCTTTTTTTTTCTTCTTTTTTTTTACTGCTTTTACATGGCTTTTAATTTGTTCCCATGTCACTACTGGTAGCATGAGGTGATACCTGGACCCAGCACGGCTGGTGGTAAATACATCAGCAGGACCATTATTTGTTCCTTTGTGTCTGGCCAAATAGGAACAGACCTAGAAGGTGGCCTGAGAGCTCCAAATCCTCTAAAGGACCTTGTCTGGCCTGCTGAGCTTTGCATTTTCTGTTTTAAAATTGGTACCTTATTTATTTTCCAGATTAGCATTCTACTTGCAAATTTGTTTTTCAGTTTGGTGGTGGGTCAGTGTTGATTTGGGAACGCATATCCATGAATGCACAGAAAGACCTCTGCAGGATAAGTTATTGAAATCCTTAGACCCATTGTTTGAATAGTGCAAGGGGTAGTATGTTCATTGCAATGCAACACAATGCCTGTCCCTATGTGGCAAGAGAGTGCTGGTAGTTCTTGGAAGATGAAGGAATTGATAGCATTAACACACCTGAACCCAAAATATCTGGACCTTCAACCCAATAGAAAATCTTTAGGACATCATATTTAGATCCATATTATAGCACAACGCTGCACCTCAGACTGACCAGAAGCTCTATGATGTCTTGGTCTGATTCTCGGACGACAATCTCCATCAAATCATATGGCACCATTTTGTTCTAACATGTTGGGTTACAAGGTCTGGAACTCACTACTATCCACCTTTAAGCACACACAGGATGTTAAATGGATTATTTCCTTTATTAAGAATGGGTTAAAGATAATCCAAGACTCTTATCATTTTTAGGTATTGATTTTAAATTCTACAAATGTTGTTCAATAATTACTGGACATTTTATTAACTGTTAATTTATCTGTTTAATCAAAAATTGAAATGCTCTTTGTAGTGACAGTTATTGTGAATTAGCCATGGCTTAAACACTGTGATGCAGGAATCAACCTGTTTTATGCCATTGATCTTTGTTGATTTTACCCATCCCTATCAAATAAACAACAATAATTATCAATATAGATTTAGCTACAGTATGATGTTGTTTTCAGGATAGATCTAATGTGTTCTTAAAGTGTTGCACTAAAATATATTGGGCATTTTTCTTAAGGCTCAATATTCCTTAAAAGACGTAAATAGCGTCAAATTATATAGTAAAAGCAACATGGATTTACAGCACTAGAGGGCAGACCTACTCTAGGAAAAACAAAATACCGAATAGAACTGATGGTGGGGGTTTATTTTCTAAAGGTACAGAGTAAGCTTTGTGTTTTAATTTCAGAGGACCCTTGAGGATCAGTGGAACAGAATGATGGTGGCAGCGGAGCAAGCCCAGTTTATGGCCAATCTCATTCGATTGATAAACGCCACAAAAGCAATTGAAATAGGTAAGAAAAGTTTAAAAAGGTGAATCAGAAGGTAAAGAATTTTAAAGGTGACAGAGCAAATAAATACTGAAGGGCATTGCAAGCTATCAATATTACTATGGTTTTATGCAGGCTATCACTAGTTTATAACAATATATGACTTTTATTCAGCAGAGCAATTTGTTTTCCTTAAATAAAAGTATTGTTAAACATGATATTTTGATATACTTTGTTTTTTTTTTTTTTTTAGTGAATGATATTGAGAAAACAGGAAATATATTTCTCACAAAAAGTACTAACTGAGACCATGTATGATGCAGGGATGTACACTGGATACAACGCTCTGAGCATGGCATTGGCCATGCCAGAGAATGGACGAGTGGTAGCTTGTGAAATAGAAGAGACCTACGTGGAAATAGCTAAACCTTTTTTTAAAGAGGTAAGAACATTTTAAAAACAGGGAAGAAATGGGAACTTTGAGGTGTCTGCTCAGTAAACTGGTAAAGAAAGCTGCAGAGCCAAGCTGTTAAATCTGCTCCTGCTTAAAACCTGACAGAACTTTGTTTTGTAAAGTCTGTATCGAACCCACTTTACATAATTGTACACTTTGCAGGCTGGAGTGGAAAATAAAATAGATGTTAAGCATCAACCTGCACTTAAAACACTTGGTAAGAAGTTTCATTGGTCTTATAATGACTTTCCTGCAGAAATGAAAGTGTTGCTAATACTTGTTTTCATTTATGTTATTTTTAGATGAACTGGTAGCAGCTGGGGAAGCTGGAACATATGATTTTGTGTTCATTGATGCAGATAAATCCAACTATGACAGATACTATGAAAAGTCTCTGGAGCTCATTAGAAATAGTGGTATAATTGCAATCGATAACGTAAGTAAACTTTCTATTTTCAGTTCATGCTTTAAGAACAAATATAGACTGTGACGTCTCCCTTTCAGGTCCTGTGGAGTGGAAAGGTTGTGAACCCTGAACCCAATGATATTACATCGCAGACTCTAGATGCACTCAATAAGAAGATACACAACGACCAGAGAGTTGAACTGAGCATGCTCACTGTGGGGGATGGGCTGACCATTGCCATTAAACGCTGAAAATGATGTTATAGCGAATGCGATATATCATGCCATTCTTTCCCATGTTATTGCGTGATTTATTGCTCTCCTGGTTCCACAATTCAACAATTTGAGTATTGTGTGAAAGGATGTAAGAATTTTAAGATTCTAAAAATAATAAAGATCAGTATGTTTACTGAAAATATGCAAGAAAAAGACTATCATTATTGAAAAAACAAAAATAAAGCAGGAAAAATGGTTCTAAGATATTTATTAAATAAAAGTTATGTTAATCACCTTGTCGGGAAGAAACTACTTTTAATTAAATAATGTTAAGAGATGTGCAGTTTTTTTTATACAAACTTTTTACTTTTACATAAGTAACAATGTAATTAGAATATAGCTACTACTTAAAGATCAGATGAAAATACAGTAAAATGTAGAAATTGTCACTGGAATTTATTTATTCTTCCCCTTACGTAGTAATGTACATTACCTACTGTAAGGATTAGTTTTATAAGTTTATGTAGAAAATTTTGATTTTGATAAATGTTTCTTCTGACAGGATTTAATATCGAATCAATTTATCTAATTTATGTTATTTGATTACATTATTTTAAACAATAATCACAAAAAGGCTTAAATCGGAGGAACCAGACTTTTACTCTGTGTTTCTGAAAATGTTTTCAGCACATATCCAGGAGTGTTTAAACTTTTTCAGAAAAACCGAGTGAAAGTCAGGTTGCCTCCGATTTAAGCCTTTTTTTCCCCAGATTTTATTGTCATATTGTCACAAGTCAACTATATTGGACCATCTGTAGTCTAAAATGTCAAATACAACAATATAGTTAAGTATTAGAGTTACTGAATTAAATAACACTGAACAAAAACACAATCTAAGGTTCATAAACCCTTTATTCTGTTTGTAAATATACTAAAAAGAAGATCATCAATGTCTTTATCTTTGTATTAAGACTTCTTTGGTTAAGTTAAGATGAGCATTAAGACAATACTTAATGGAGTATCTGAACCTTAACTGGGTTAATCTTTAATGACAAACTGACTGTTTGATTTTTATTTTTCAATCGTGAAAGAATGGAATCGAAGGAAGCTGATGGTGCCATGGGTGTGTCACTGCAATTAATAAAATACCTACCTGTATATATAAAGGAGATTTAATGAAACTCAGTGGAGCTCAGAGTTTGCTGCTGCTGCTATCTGACTTGAAGCATGAACGATTTAAATTTAATGGGACTATGAGAGAGAAGTGCATTTTCGAAGAAAATATCAAGCTTTATCTGCGAATATCAGTGCAACATACAGAGTAAGAAACATTTCTAGGACTTAGATCTTCATCTGCTTTTATTGCTACTACTAATAGTATCGCATAGAGGTAATTGCTCACCGCTGAGCTCACCAACGTCATCGCTTTCTGCGACAAAATGTGGAGTAAGAGCTCATTAAAGCAGCAGCTGACGCTACGTGTTTTCAGCACCATGGACAGCTTTATTCTGCAGACAGAGCAGGTGGTGGCTGCTATAAAAGCCTGCATGGATGCATCTCTGCACCAGACAACATGAGTCACTGGATACATGACAGGTTTGACTTCTCCACCAGAAACGCTCCTGGTCTTTTTGCACAACACAATCCGAGACCATCGGAAACCAAGACAACTTCCGCGGACATGAGTTCCGAAAGCCTCCTATCTAAAAGGTGCAGCGAGAAGGAGATGATGCATGGTTTGAACGATCGACTTGCGGGTTTTATAGAAAAGGTGCACCACCTAGAACAGCACAACCTAATCCTGGAGAGAGAGATTGAGAGCATCAAAGGGAAAGTCAAGCCCGCATCTTGTTTGGAGGAGGAATACGGTCCAGACCTGAGGAGGATGAGGCAGCTGCTGCAAGATATAACCCAACAGAAGCATCAGATTGAGATCGAACATCATAATCTGGAGGAAGACCTTGTCATCTTGAGAAAACAGTATGAGCGAGAGTCTGAGAGCAGATCAGAAGCTGAGAGCAACATAATGATCCTGAAGAAAGACATGAGCGACGTGCATCAGGCTAAACTACTGCTGGATAGGAAAGTGGAGTACCTTGTAGATGAAATCAACTTTCTAAAGCGAAATCACGAGGCCGAAGTTTCAGAGATGTGTGTCCAGATCCAAGATGCTCAACCAAAGTTTAAAGCGCACGGATTTGGTCATGCAAGTGTCACGGCTGCGCTGCGGGACATCAGGACGCAGCTGGAGGGTCACACCGTATCCGACATCCAGCAGGACGGCGAAAGTTTCCGAGCTCAGTTCTCCAGGCTGACCGAGGCGGCCGAAGCAAAGAGAGAGGCGCTGAAAGCGAGCCAGCACGAGATCCAGGAGTATAAGAGGCGTCTGCAGGCCAAAAACATTGAGCTGGACTGCACTAAAGGCACCAGAGAAGCTCTGGAGAAGCAACTTCATGACGTAGAGGATCGCCACAAGGAGGAACTTATTCATTATCAGGTAAGAAATCCTTCTGCAGCTGCATCAGTGCAGCTTTTACACAAATGATGAGATTCCATTAACTATCTCATATATTCTCTTCCTCAGAATACAATAAAAGAGCTTGAAAATGAGCTCATAAACTGCAAGTTTGACATGTCTGGCTACTTAAGGGAGTATCAGGACCTCCTGAATGTGAAGATGGCTTTGGATGTGGAGATATTGTCATACAGGTATCACAGAATTATTCTAATTTCAAAACATAATTGGGTCAAACATGAAATGATTAGGTGGGGGATATGTAATTATTAGGTAATGTTAGGCTTTTTATATGCATATGTATTTTATTTAGATGTGCTAATATGTTGTTATTAAGACATACTAAAGCATTTGTGCAAACATTTTAAAATGACCTTTTAACACATATCATATAAACTGAAATTGTTTTAAAGTCTTAATGTGTTCATTTGTTTCAGTAACGAGTAACTCCTTTAGTGATATATTTAAAGTAAAAAAAAAAGACAACCCCAAATGAGAATATGATGGAAATTCAGCTTAAATTGCTCTATGAGAATGATTTTTTTTTTTTTTTATACAATTATTCAAACCCTGGAACATTCTCAGATATGTCATAATGCAACAAGCACAAACTTGAACATTACTTAGGCCATAGTGGTTATTAAGTCTTTATCTGGCACTTAAGCTAGAGATAAATAATAACTGGCCTACCATGCGCAGTGTGAAACCTCACATTATGCTGTTATTTTGTTGCTTTTTTTGTGGCAGCGCAACACAAGGCTGCCCATGACACAATGACATGTGGTTGTTCAAATGTCTTCACAAATAAAAATCTGAAAAGTGTTGGGCAGACAGAGTATCAATCAGGCAAGAGGGCTGGGAAGATCTAAAAAGAACAGGTCGTTTCACAAATCTGTATTTTAGTGAGGAGTTGGAGGAAAGAACAAAGTTGTTGAAAGGCCAAAAAATTTATTTTTAACATACATTCGAGTGACACATCTATTTGGTTGAGAAGAATGGAAACAATATCAATTTCTTGATGTTAAAGTATTAACTGATTCATTCTGTTTGTAACATGACAAATTTAAGTTTTAGGTGTATGGCTAGTTTTCCAAGACAAGTATCAAATCTTTATATCGATTAACCTGAGGAGATGCTAGAAGGGATAAAGTTTTTACTTTGTGTTTATTAAATATGAATTCTTTCTTCCATCCGGCAGGAAACTCCTCTGTGGCGAGGAGGCCCGACTGTCATCCATCTCTGACTCCCCTATCCAGTTGCCTCATATTTACCATCAGTCGCCAGTTTACTCCCTCCCCAGCTTCAGTCGACCTGGATTCACACAGAGACGAGCAGAGCCAAAGTACAAGTTTGTGGAGGAGATCATAACAGAAACCACCCGGGAGATTGAGATGTCAGAATTTGAGGAGACTGGATCAGAGGAAACTGATGTGGGGAAGGATGAGGAGGGTGAAAAAAGTGAGAAACAGGGGAGTGAAGAAGAGGGTGACCATAAGGACAATCGAGAGGATGAAAGAAACCAGATGTCTGATAGTCAGCAGACTGAAATAGCTTCAGATAAAAAGTTGGAGAAGGAAAAACATGAGGCAATGATAGCTGATGATGCAGAGGAGGATGATAAAGGGCAAAACGGTAAAACAACAGATCTTCTCAGTGGTAAAAATGTAGACACAGAGGTTGAAGATACTAAAGCAGCTGAGAATGTAGAGGAAGAAGAAACTGCAGAGATTGGGAAACTTAATCAGACAGATATTTCGTCAAGCTTACATGATTTAAAGGCAGAGGGGAATAAACAGGGCTCAACTAAGGAAGAAAAGCTGATGTCAGTTCAAGATGTGAAGCCTGCGGATGGAACCACAGTTCCAGAATCAAAGGAAGGGGACAAATTCCCACCGTTTAATGCTGTTATTCAAGTGCAAGAGAAAGTCAGTGGATTGGCAACAGAAGCAAAGGCCACTATGTTGATAGAGAAAGAATCTATAGAAAACACAAAGACCAATTCCAAAGCAACAAAAAAAGAGGAGAAAGAAATGAGCCACACGGAGCAAAAGGAAACTACAAACGTGGAGGAAGAAGACAGGAAAACCACTGAAGGTGTCACACATGAAAGCAATAAAGATAAAACCCCATCTTCCAAATCTATAGAGAAAGCATAGAGTCAGGAATCAGAAACAGTGGAGAAAAACAAATAACTCTACCTGATTTGCAAAAAGAAAAAGTATCTGTGACTGCAGAAACAAGAGATACAGCAAAATTTCAAACTACAATCTAAAAAATATCAGTTTGATGAAGTCAAAGTTGATAATAACACTTTGAATTCAAAGAGATAGTAGCAAAAAACAGAAGCGCTCATTATGCAAATTCAATACTATGGCACCAGCAGAGTGGAGTACAAAGAACAATGCAAAATACTAGAACAAAATGTTTTAACCCCGGTTCTCGTGGCACACTGTCCTGCATGCTATAGACATTTCCCAGCTTTCACACATCAAATACCACTTTAAAAAAAAGTTGATTAAAAGGCTTTCCTCAACTGCATTCATCTAAATCAGGTGTGTTGAAGAAGAGAAACATCTAAAACATGTAGGGCAGTGTGCCATGAGGACCGGGATTTTAAAAAAATTCTACTAGAATGCATTGTAAGCATATGCATTAAAAATGATCATTAAAAATAGACAAACATTTGTTTTTTTGCAGTATTTCTGACCTCACAACAGATACTGGCTTCAGAATAACTTGAAACACAAAAATAACATCTTATAATTATGAATGTAAAGGGATCTTTTTTTTTTTTTTTGCTCAAATAAAAGTAATAAAGAAAGCCACTGTTTTTCAATTTCTGAAACAAAAAGAAAAGCTTTGCATGCTTCTAGGAATGTTTTCGATAAAAAAAAAAAAAAAAAGTTCAATCTTTAAATGCTTCAAAGCGTCTTAGCATGAGTGAGAGAAATTGCAAGATCTCTGTGTTAAAGGAACCTTGATAGGAACCTCCTTCCTTATTGCCTGCACTATTCAGGACAGCATCTCTCATGGCTGCTGCTGGCACAGCTCCTTTTGCTTAAGAGTCATTTCCATTTTGACATATTCAGATTGACCCTCTGTTTCAGTAGGACTCTTTCAGAATCCTGATCTCCTATTTTCCTAATTAAGTTGATCAAATGAATGTCTGACTACATACTTCATAATAAATGGTAATGATTGCAGTTGGAACTTTGTGTGGATTTAATTATTAAAGCTAAATTATCTCACAAATTTTCAAACTTCAACCCCACATCCAAACCTTATTGGTTTAACAACTCACACTGATGTTCACCCTGAAATTGAACCCTTCTGTAGAGCTAATAGCAGTAAATGTAACATCCTCCATCCATGGAGTGACCTTTTCCAATCCAACAGTTTTATGCCAGTTTAATCTGTGGTTAGATTTATACAGTTCTAGTTATTTAGTTCTAGTGCCACATCTCATGTTTAATGCTTAGTCTAGAAATGAATATTCTCTTTTAAGCTTTTCTAAATCGACTTTTGTAGTATTTTTCTTTTAGATAATTTAACATCTAAAATGGCACCATTCTACCCAAACCGAATTTGGTACACTGCTGGATTTATTTTATAGGCTCCATTAGATCAGATTTGCATTGCTACCTTTCGTCTGACATCTCTACAATTCCTTAAATATAAACTTCAAAAAGATATAAATATATGAAAGAAAAAAAGAAGGCTGAACAAAAATTCAGCTTAGTTTCACAATAAATAAATCTTTCAGAATTCTTAACTAACCCCCTTCCCCAAATGGATGTTTTTAGAATGTGTTACACTGAAGGTGGGAAAATCATTGAAATAATTAGCAAGAACTTCAAAATTCTTCAGAAAACCATGAAAGTGTAACAGAGGTTTTCCCATTGGAGATTCAGCTAACCATCACTCCGGTAGGCATTTGTTCAGCTTCAAAGACTTTATTGAAAATCCATTCATAAACAAAGGGACCTCAAAGACTTCTCCCATGATCGTTCTCCACTTAGAATAGAAGCACAGCTTTCTATAGTGCACCTGTGCAACTTTACATTTTCTTCAAAGAATTTTAAAGTTTGGCATCATTGAACATTGTGCTCCACAGTCATCTGGTGTTGCATAATAATAAAAACAAAACCTCTGCTTGGGTGATATGCAACATGCAGGTTTCTTTCCCACTTTAAGTAACCCCAAAACTGCTAAGTTAAGGGGAAGGTCACATGTTTAGCTTTGCTAAAACATCCCAGCCTCAAACAACATAACGGAACAACAATGAGGTCCTTGGGTGCATGGTCAGTACTCAAACACAGAAGTAGTGTAATTTAGGTGTGAACAAAATATGACGACCCTTTAGGAAAAAAAAAAAGGTTTGCATTTATGTTTAAACAAATGGAACAACAATGGAGTGTCTGAATATTCCTACAGCCACACATAGTTGTACAGAGGGATTTAATTACTAAATTATTATGGCAGTACTGGATAGATAGATTATTATTAAATAAAATGACAATGATAGACTTGGAATTGAAGCGTCCACGTCGTACAATACATAAAAAAACAAAAAACATGACTACAAACAGCACCGACTTGATGTGGTGCACAGATGTGTGTTGCAGAAGCCTTTGATATGATCTCACGGCAATTTCCCTTTGCTGGTTTGAGTTGAAAATGGAGTTAAGGCCCGATTCTTCTGATATTCCCTAGTCCCTTGCAGTATGACAGTTCAGGCTTCCAGCTCCAAACCCAGACCGAGCTTGTGGCCTCCTACGTTGATGCTCTTCCCATCAATCAGACCAGAAAGGGTCAGCTTTACACCTACACACACAAGGCAGCATATTTAGTCCTGTATCTATACAATTCAAGATGTCACAAAACAGCTGATAACTTTTAAAAAAACCACATTCCTTTTTGCTTTCACTTTAGAACAACAAATAATTTTGGATTTATGCACTAAGAAACCCCAACAGAATACATTGATGTGTGTCGCAGTAAGCAAGAAACTCACCTGGTCTAAGGGTCTGGGTGTACCCAACACCCACAAGGCTATTGTTGTTAACTTTAGCCTAAAATATCCCAAAGGAGAAAGGAAAAACATGTAAGTCAGCGGTGTAAATGTTTATGTTTTTCAGTAACTCTGTTGCCTTATAACTACTTAATTCTGCAGAGGAAAACTTACGCTGATGGAGGCATCTTTGTCCAGTTGGTATTTTGCAGCAATGCCAAAGCTTGTGCTGTTGCTGCCGGCAGTCCAAGACAGTTGGACTGCAGTCTCAAGCTTGTCATTGGGCTTCTGGTAGATGGAGCCAGCAAACTCATTGCCGTCATTGCTGTAAGATCAATAATAAAAAATATTCAATAAATAGAAATCAGCTTACAATCAA